ATTTGAGAAGCTAGAACCAGAGAACAATAAATGATATACATGGGAGCTTATTGGACGCTAACGTTCCCTCTGATTTGGTCTGTTTCTAGACACGTTACCAGTGCCCACCCTTGTTCTCCAGCAGCAGACAGAAGTGTGGCATTTGCTCTGCACAGGGTCTCCTGCGTACCCTGGCGCCATGTTCTTCCTCTACCTGGCTGACAATGAATTTCCTGTTGCCACTCACCTGACCACCTTAATCCACCATCAGGCTACCTTCTCAGTACCTGTCCAGGACACTCCAATGGCTTTGTATCAATGCCAGTACAGTGTCCTCCTGGGAAGGAAATGGAGCAACTCTGAGCGGAGTCTTCCTTTGGCTGTAACTAGAGGTACAGATTTACCATTCATTATTTCCATTGTATGGGTGTGGTTTGGTTAGATTTAACAAAAAAATGTGACTCTTTGATTCTTCTCTCATCTTTCAGGAATCCCCCCTCCATCATCACCAGGTAGAGTAGACCTAGCAGGCCATTATTATGGATAAGGATATTTATATATCTCACTGTCCTTTTGGTATCTCACAATAATGCCAGTGTGATGTCTGCAGGTGTGTCTGGTGTAGACTGGCCTCTTGTACTGGGCTCTTTCTCCACTGTGGTTTTGTTCCTCTGTTCAGTTGCAGTCATAGCTGTGGTGGCACACAGGAAAGGTATTTTCACATGTGAATCTCTGATTTCTCACTGATGCATTTTTTGCTGTTTGTCTTCCTTTTTCTGAAATGTGTCATTTCCTCTCTTTCTTCTCTTTTCCCCCTTCTTTGTAGTAAAAGCAACGGCGGAGGAAAAGAAAAAAAGGTACTGTCTTTCTAGTGCTCATTAGTCTTAAAGATGGCAAAGTTTAGACCAGTAAATGGTCACAGTTTGTCTTTTTCCATAGACGAGTGAGATTTACTGTGACAGTCGTGACACATTAGAACAATATTTAGAGGCAGCTTCAACCGCAGACAAATTTTCCTCAAGTTGGCAACGTAATAAACTATTTAGAATTGCTCAGAATTTGCTTGAATATGATATATATGGTAGTTTAAAAGTGTATAATGGCCAGCAGAGAAAAGTATTTGACTTCATTCATCCTTCCTTCCCACAATCTGAAGATCCATTTCACATTACACATTTACATAAAAAATCAGTATTGCAATGCAGCATTCATACTGTGGTATAAAATGTTGCTGTGTTAAACTGTTTCAGACAAGAAGCACAGTTCTGGACTCAAGTTCATTCTAAGGACCATGTTGTGGGTGAGTTGACTATCATATTTATAGCTAGTTAATTGCCTGTTCATTCAGTTTTTAATTTCTAATTTCTTCAAAGCGATTTTTTCTGCAGAGTAAAGCAAAGAGATATGTAGAGACAAACCAATGTGACAATGTGCTTCCTTTTTTGTCTTTTATTTTGCAGACCTTACACTCAGGCGCACAAGCTTCACCTCTCAGGTAAATATTCATCAATACCTTAATCATTAAACTTGTAATAACTTCGTTTTCCCTTTATACTTACCTTTCCATTACAACACTTTGAGATAAAGGATAAAACTGGCTGGGTTTTTGTTTTTGTCAACAAATTGCATGAAAAGA